ACTGTGACGGACTATGACTATCCGGACATGCTGCTCTGCAAGAAAGGGCTGCTGTGATTGACTCTGGCCATCGGGTCACGCTGCTCTGAAGGCAAGGGCCGCTGTGATTGACTCTGGCCATTGGGCTGTGCTGCCCTAAAGACAGACAGCATACACTGAAGTAGACCATTAGGCCCTAGTGACCCAGACGTGAGAGCAGGACCACAGGGAGCAAAAATATCCACTTGGTCCCCTTGCCACTCCAGGTGGGGAACGGGGCATATCACTGGATAGACAATGAAAACAACTGATTGAAAACAGCATTAATAGGCTGTATTTTTCCAGAAGACTGTGCTTTGCCAGTTAATCCAAGCCTCAATACTAATATGAGACAGGTTATCAACAGGGCTGGTATAACTTGCTTTGAGAATTGCTACCCCAAGCTATAAGACTCTAATATGAGCCAAATGGAAACTCTTTGGAAAAAAGGGAAACCTTTATGCACAAGAAAAAATTAGGTGATTGACGCTAGACCCCTATACTGCATAGGTTCATCTACTTCAAAACACAAAAGAACCAACAATGGACCAAGGGATACAAATACACCATGATTGTTTCTTGATTTAGCAAGAATATTCAGTGCAGATCACCTGAATTAAACACTGTAACAGGGTTAAAACCCAGGTTATGAATTAAACTTCATCCGGCTAGATTTTAGCTGGATTCTAAACAGGCATCTCTGAGTTTCGCTAGGACTCATCTTCAATAAGTTTCAGATGGGTTTGGACCAAGTTACTGATGTTGCCAGCTCTAAAGGTAATTTGTGGTTAGTAGGTGCATCCTTGTTATAAGGCCCTTCCTTATTATAAGTCTTCAGGTATAACATACCTGGTCCCTGGATCCCAAGTACTGTAAGTACTCTATTGTTAAAAAATAACCATTTTTATCCAGTGATAGAAATGTAGCCGTGTTAGTCTGGGGTAGTTGAAGCAAAATGCAGGACAATGTAGCACTTTAAAGACTAACAAGATGGTTTATTAGATGATGAGCTTTCGTGGGCCAGACCCACTTCCTCAGATCAAATAGTGGAAGAAAGTAGTCACAACCATATATACCAAAGGATACAATTAAAAAAATGAACAAATATGAAAAGGACAAATCACATTGCAGAACAGAAGGGGGATGCGGGGGGGTGGGAAGGGGGAGGAAGGAAGGTAAGTGTCTGTGAATTGCTGATATTAAAGGTAGGGAGAGTGGGATGTTTGTGAGTTAATGGTATTACAGGTGATAATTGGGGAAACTGTCTTGGTAATGGGTGAGAAAGTTCAAATTCTTGTTAAGTCCTTGTTGGCAAGTGTCGAATTTTAACATGAATGACAGTTCAGAGGATTCCTGAAAAAAAGATTCAGAAAGGGAATCCTCTGAACTGTCATTCATGTTAAAATTCGACACTTGCCAACAAGGACTTAACAAGAATTTGAACTTTCTCACCCATTACCAAGACAGTTTCCCCAATTATCACCTGTAATACCATTAACTCACAAACATCCCACTCTCCCTACCTTTAATAAAAGCAATTCACAGACACTTACCTTCCTTCCTCCCCCTTCCCACCCCCCCGCATCCCCCTTCTGTTCTGCAATGTGATTTGTCCTCTTCATATTTGTTCATTTTTTTAATTGTATCCTTTGGTATATATGGTTGTGACTACTTTCTTCCACTATTTGATCTGGGGAAGTGGGTCTGGCCCACGAAAGCTCATCATCTAATAAACCATCTTGTTAGTCTTTAAAGTGCTACATTGTCCTGCATTTTTATCCAGTGTCACACATTGAGCCAAAAGGCAGAAAGAAATGAGCAGGCATCTGTCTCACCTCTCACTTCCAGGGGCTGAAGCTGAAGCTGGAGCCCCAACCCCACTGCCATGCAGGACTGGCATCCCAGAGCATCAGCCGTAGCTGACAGGCCAGTAACACAGACCCAGCCAAGTGTGGCTGGCAGACCAGAGAGCCAGATCCAGCTGTGCAGGTCTGATAGCCTAAAGCCCCAGCCACTTAGGACAGACAGCCCACGTCCCAGACTCCACTGGCCATTTACTTTAATTGCCCTTTTGCTATAACAAACCCCTGGCTGTAACGAACAAAAGGCTTGCATCCTGACAGACTTGTTATAGTGAGGGCATTTTGTAACCAACTAGTGACCATGGGTATGTCTACACTACAGCACTATTTTGAATTAACTTAATTCGAAATAGTTAATTCGAATTAAGCTAATTCGAAATAACACATCTATACACAAAAACTATTTCGAAATAGCGTTTTGCTATTTCGAAATAGCATGTCCACACTGAGTGGACCCTGAACCGAAGTTAAGGCTGGCCAGAACCAGTGCCGGTAGGCCATCAGGTCAGAACTTAGTGTGTGGGGCTGCTGCCTGAGGCTAGCTGAGCTCTGTGCTTAAAGGGACCCTACCCCCACCCCGGACAGACAGTTCTCAGGGTTCCCTGCTTGCGTGTCTACCTTGATGAGGGACAGCAAAGCAGTCCTGTCTTGGAGTGCCCTAACTCAGGACCCCACAGCACTCGGCCACATGGAGCCAGAGCTGCCCCTTGGCACGCCAGTGTGCCTCGTGGGATCGTTGCCATCAGCCCGGCTGCACTTGCTGTTGGCTGCCATCCGGGGGTCTGTCGGGGGGTTGTCAGGATCCAGGAGGCCCTGAGGGAGAGCGTCCACCCCTCGGAGCCTCCCCGGTCCTCCCCACTGGGGGCTTGTGCCCCATTCCTCCCTCACATCCTTCCACTTACCCCTCCCTAACCCCCCTTCCTGATGTCAAATAAAAGACACGTAGGTTCAAAAATAGAAACTGGGTTTATTGAACAAAACTGGGGGGTAGGGTGGGGGAGGATGGACCTCTGGGGAGACTGGGAAAAGGAGGTGGGAGGGGAGAAGAGAGAAGGGTGGGGGAAACCTGGGAGGAGAGAACTGGAAGGGGGAAGCAAGGGGAAGAAGGGGGAGGGGAAGCTCAGGGTTGGGGGTCTCATCAGACCAGCCTGACTTTCATGCAAACCTGCTCCTGGGTTCGCATGTGGCCTTTGCTGGCCAGGCTGGCAGCTATCCTACCATAGACGGCCAAGTTCCTCCATCTCTAGTATGGAGATCATGGACGTTGGGGTCATCTCCCCCGCAGACCTGAGTAAGGTCCACCCTGATCTCTGCCCTGGGCTAGTTGGAGCTGGCACAGGCACTGTGGTCAGGGTCTACCCCTTCAATGGCTCCGTGGCTGGGGGAGAAGAGAATAAGTTTTCCTGATTGTGCCCAGAGTGGCCACCAGGGCTCCCTGGGAAGTGCTGGAGGCCCCCTATTTCGATTTAAGTGTCTACACAGCACTTAATTCAAAATAGCTATTTCGAATTTGGTGTTACTCTTCATAGAATGAGGTTTACCAAATTCGAATTAAGGGCTCCAATATTTCAAATTTATTTCGAAATAGTGGTTTGGCTGTGTAGTTAATTCAAAATAACTGCTGTTATTTCGAATTAACTTTGTAGTGTAGACATACCCCATGGGAACTAACAGCATTATCATTCTTGCTAGCAGTACAGGGTAAAACATGTATCCTCCTGTAACAAGCTGAGCACACTTTTTTCCTTGATGTGAAGAGGGCTTCTGAACCCCCTTCTGTACTCAGAATGGCCAGTCACCTCAATTTGCTGTGAGAGAGCACTTCAGGGTGCTGGCGGTGTGATTGTATGCTTGTGTCCTCTGGGCACTGTTCCCTGTTCTAGCACTGTGAGAATTCACTGATACCAACACGCTGAAGCAGAGCTCTAAGTATAGATATGCAACAAGTGATACAAGTTCATATTTAGAAAAAACCCAAAGCCTATTCTGGACACAGCTGTGTTTGTTGTAATGGTGTGACGAGGCGGCACTGCCCCGCACGGCAGCTAACGGAGTTCACCTGGCCCCGGGGGTGGAGCGGACTCCCACCCCCATAGCCCTGCTGGAGAGGGAGGCCTGAGATAAAAGCCAGGGGAGGCAGGCAGGCAGGGGAGATAGCAGAAGAGGCAGGAGCACAGGGAAGAGATCCTGGGCTGTCCCAGCCACCCCCAAAGCCAGGCCTGTCTGCACCATTGCCTCAGGAGCTAGGCCTGCAGATACAGTCGCCTAGAAGCTGCAACACTAACCAGCAGCCCCAGGACGTAGCATCAGTCGGGGATGAGGTAGGAAGCAGCTCAGGGCAGAGGAAGGACCTCTGGGAGGTCAGTGTGTTCCGGCAGAAGTTCCCGCTGACCAGTCAACAGATACTTTCACTGTCAATAGGGCCCTGGGCTGGGACCCAGTGGAGTGGAAGGGCCCAGGTCCCCCTACCTCCCCAAAAAACCCTGTAATCCAGCCTCGCGGACTGGGAAAAAGGCTTGACTTTAGAGACCAGGCCGGATGGCTGTTTTTCCTGAGTGCTCAAAGTTCCAGAACATTTGTGTGACAATTTCTTTCTGTAGTGGACCCTGAGCCATGTGGTGTTGGTGACGTCTTCAAGCATGAGGGATGCAGCTGTTGTCATGGAAATGCACAGTTCTGGTGGGGGAAATGGGACTCACAAGCATAGGTTCTATGGAATTGTCCATCAGTGGAGAGATTGTTTTGACTTTAGAGACTAGGCTGGAGGGCCATATTTGCCCTGAGTGAGGGGTACTGAACTTTGGGGGGCCAGGCCAAAAAGATTGTGTGTTCCCAGAGCCAAGGTGAATCCGCTCCGGGACCGAGGGCCTGCCCCTTCACAAATGAGTTTTGATGTAATCAGTTTGCATGAGCATATCAAACCTTGCTATTGTATTTGTAGTGTAGACAGGACCTAAGTGTCCTAAACATGTGAAGTGATTAATCTCTTAGCCCTTGCCTTTCTGGGATGGGCAAAAAGGGCCAAGATTTTCCTTTTTCACTATTCCTTCTACTGTAATCTGAGAGCTATTCCATACATTAGAAAACTGCAATGACCAGGCTTCTTCAGTGGGTACGTACCAGTCTTAGGTCTATTACATCCTGAAGCATAAACCGAATCCTGGAGGATGTTTTTCTCTCTTTCACAATCTTCTCCATTTGATTAAAATACTGGTCCATACGGGGCTATAAAAAGACACAAATTCCATCATCAACTCCCAGAACAACATTGGAATCCAACTTTATACGGGTAATGAGTTTGTCCCCACAGTAGTCTACTGATCATACTCTGTATGATTGGTTCAGGGATCTAGATCTGCTGTGTAAAAATGTGCATGAGGTTCATGCATGCTTTTATGCACATAGTGGACTTGTGTGTGTGGCTCAAAGCATGCTTCTGTGATGGTTGGGGAATGAGGCTGGGATTTTGCGGACCACTGCCTAATTCACTACAGACTTTCAATATAGTTTTTCTAGAGTAGAATAGTGATAGAAATGTAGCCGTGTTAGTCTGGTGTAGCTGAAACAAAAAACAGGACTATGTAGCACTTTAAAGACTAACAGGATGGTTTATTAGGTGATGAGCTTTTGTGGGCCAGACCCACTTCCTCAGATCAAATAGTGGAAGAAAATTATTTGATCTGAGGAAGTGGGTCTGGCCCACAAAAGCTCATCACCTAATAAACCATCCTGTTAGTCTTTCTAGAGTAGTGATTCAAGAGCCACGCTCTTGATTAGCAGAGCTGTGCACATCCCACAGCATGTGTTCAGGTGCCCCTCTTTCCACTGCTTTGCAGCCATGTTGCTCCTTCCCTCTGCCTTGGAATCTCTGGTCAGCTGCTCCTGGGAGCTTCCCACTGGCCGTGAAGAGCAGGGGAGGGGTGCTGATGTCAGGGTGACCTCTCCCCTCACCCTTGTACTCTGACACCAGGGCTCAGGAGCAGGAGAGCTGCTGAGGTCTAAGCTCTGATCAAGCCTTCCAGCAGATGAGTGCCTTAAAGAAATAGCAGTCTCTCAGACATCCCCAGCAGCCAGCTCTCACAATCTCACACATACTTTCTCTTCTTCCCACATCTGTCCATGGATCCCATCTCTGAAACACAGGGCAGGGGCGAACAGGATTTAGGGGGGAGAGCTGCTGTGGTCTGAGGTCTAAAGGAGCTTTCCCACTGTCAGTGAGAATGCCTTAAAGAAACAGCAACCAGTGTGTCTCGGAGACTTCCCCAGCAACCATCCCATCCCATCCCATCTCTCTCTCTCTCACACACACACACACCTCCCAACACATACTTTTGTATTACTGCTGTGCTGCAATGCACATATTCTCAGTAATTTATTCTTTCAAAGTCTCAGAGGGGCAGCCGTGTTAGTCTGTAAGGGTATGTCGAACTAGGGTGGTAATGTAGTCAACCGGAGTTGCAAATGAAGCCCGGGATTTGAATTTCCCGGGCTTCATTTGCATATTGCCAGGCGCCGCCATTTTTAAATGTCTGCTAGTTCGGACTCCATGCCCCGCGGCTACATGCGGCACGAACTAGGTAGTTCAGACTAGGCTTCCTATTCCGAACTACCTGGTTTGTGCCGCGTGTAGCTGCAGGGCACGGAGTCCGAACTAGTAGACATTTAAAAATGGCGGCGCCCGGCAATATGCAAATGAAGCCCGGGAAATTCAAATCCTGGGCTTCATTTGCAACTCCGGTTGACTACATTACCACCCTAGTTCGACATACCCTTACAGACTAACACGGCTGCCCCTCTGAGACTTTGAAAGAATAAATTACTGAGAATATGTGCATTGCAGCACAGCAGTAATACAAAAGTATGTGTATGTGGCACTGTAGAGACTAAAAAATACATTTAGGATTGTGAGCGTTTGTGGGTAAAACGCACTTCCTCAGATGAGCTGAAGAGGAAATTCCAGAATCCAGTGTATATATAACAGCAAAAGCAGTTACCTGTCAGTCGTAGGACCCTGACAACGTTGTTCTCTAACCAGAGACGGGGGATGGAGACTGGCATTGAGAGGAGAACACTCTGACATGAGGATGAACGGGACCTAGAGCGCACTGAGTAGTGCAGTGTTGGGTGCGGTACTGTGCCTCCGGGGAGGTGTCCCTGGAGCGTTGGTCCCCATGCACTGAGCGACTAGCACTTTTGTGTCCTGGCTGCTGGGGGGCGTGCACCTCCAATGAACTTTGCCCCTCTGGAAATGACTGGGCCAAAGCGCCAGATCTCCACTTCTCTTTCGCCAAGTGAGCCAGGCTGCAGCGTGTTCTCTTCTCTGACCTTGCAGGAGAGTGAGAGCGCTGGGCACCAGGTGATCGGAGAGTTCAAGGAGGCTTCCCCCTGTGGCAGGGACCGGACGGTGTTGGTGGCACACGTATGGAGACAATGTCCTGTGCCACCTGGAACGTCTCCAGTATGGATGGTACTTGGATGTCTGGGGTAGGTGGTGGGGAGCGAGAAGGGCTTGTGCGCTCCGCCTGCTGTGGTACCTTATCCTGTCCACATTCTCTGCTTGGGTCCCCCATTTGTTTGAGCTTCTGTTTACAAGGTCCAGGGGACTTCTCCTTGTCTTCCTGGCTCTCTTAGGCGGGATCACCCAAGACTCATGGTTCCGGCTATGAGGGGCGTTCTGCACCAAAGTACTGGTGTTCAGGGCCAACTTGGAGAGCTGGTCTTGCGGAGCCAAGTCAGACTCCATTAAAAGCAAAGGGAACAGGCCCGTCTTTATAGTCCTAGGCTGGAATGATCTGCAGATCCAGCACTTCACAATGATGTGAGACTCTCGGAGGCAGTCTGCATGGGGGGGTGTCAGCTGACGGTCAGGGCAGGTCTGGCATAAGCCTGCAGCAGTTAGCACATACTGTAAAGCAAGGGGAGCAAGGCATGCCCACCCCCAGACTATGTCCCTAACGGGAGACTAAGTACTTCTAAAACTAACCACACAGGGAGAACTATTAAAAGTTGAAAAGGTTACAGCAAAGTTGGTGCAAGCAGTTTCAAGCACAGTCACTGCTGGCATGGAGGAGCTGGGGGAGGAGGGGCCTGGAGGTGCCCTATATAGCGTGATATATGCGCGCCACTCCGGGGGGCGCCGGAGCTGGTCTAGGGGACTTTCCGGCCCCAGTGCATGTGGTAAGCACACAGACCTGCTCTGAATAGACATGAGTAAGCACTTGAAGAAGTAAACCTCCTGAAAATTAAGAGCCATGAAACAGTCTTGAGCTTGGAGTGATGAGATGATGGAGGGAAGCAACACCATTTGAATCTGAGCTAGTATATATAGTAGTTCTGTCTCCTCAAGTTTAGGATAGAACAAAGAGCCCTTAGTTGCTTTGAAATAGAAAATACCAGAAGCAAAAAATCCCTTTCCTCTGTATACCTGAGGGAACCTCTTTTATCATGTATGGCTCCAATATAAAGCAATTTTCTATTCATATTAGGCAGTTACAAGAAGGATCCCAAAGAGGAATGGAGAAGGGGCTGGCAGAGAACAGAGAATGGAAATGTATGGAATAGCCATGGGTTATAGCCTTCAGTACTCATCCATCTGATGGTATAACAGACCAGGCCTTCTGGGATGGTGTCAGTCAACTTCCAAGGGCTGTGGACTAGTTTCTATGCAGCTCTTACTATCGCATAAATAGAGCCATGCATTGATACACAATTGGTATCCACATCTGCAAACACAGTCCACAAATATCCTCATACACAATGCGGATGCAGATATAAAATGGATATCTGCAAATCTGCAGGATACAAAGTTTGTATCTATGGCTGCATCTGCAAAAATGAGCCACAGATAGAATAATAGGGCTGGAAGAGACCTCAGGAGGTAATCGAATCCAGCCTCCTGCCCAAAGCAGGGCCAACCCCAGCTCAATCATCCCAGCCAGGGCTTTGTCAAGCTGAGACTTAAAAACGTCTAGGGATGGAGACTCCACCACCTCCCTAGGTAACCCAGCCCAGCGCTTCACCCTCCTCCTGGTGAAATAGTTTTTCCTAATATCCAACCTAGACCTCCCACAATGTAACTTGAGCCCATTGCTCCTTGTTCTGCCATCTGTCACTACTGAGAACAGCCTCTCTCCAGCCTCTTTGGAACCTCCTCATCATTTTGGTTGCCCTCCGCTGGACCCTCTCCAATGTGTCCACATCCTTTCTGTAGTGGGGGCCCCAGAACTGGACACAATACTCCAGATGTGGCCTCAGCAGTGCCAAATAAAGGGGAAGAATAACTTCTCTAGATCTGCTGGCAATGCTCCATCTAATGCACTCTAATATGCTGTTAGCATAACTTTCTAAAATACAACAGAGCAAAAGAAAATTTAGAGGAAGACTGTATTAAATCCTTTAAGGAACATTGTCAAATTCTGTAGTCATCAAATTTTACAGGCCAAATGTTTATACTCCACTGAGAAATGTCCTGTGATTCTAGACCTTACAAATAAAAAACATCCATAATAACATTTATATAGCCTTTTCATCCATATAAAGCAAAGTGCCAAACAAAAGCAGGTCAGTGTTATCATCCTCATCTTACAAGATGGGGAGATTGAGGTAGAGAGAGAAAGTGATTTACCCAAAGTTGTGCAATGAGTTGGTGGTAGAACTGGGAATGAAATTTAACTCTAATTGCCTATCCCAGGGACGGCATTGTTTCCCTAACCAGTTGCATGTAATTTGTACTTAACATCGAGCCATTGACCACTACTCGTTGCAGATGCAGATTCCTACAGATATAAAACAGATATCCATGGATCTGCTCTACCCATACAATCTGCTGACCTTGCAGTAATGTTGGGCTGAGATCAGTATGGGTGGATGCACTTTATGGAACCTAGGGAGCCTCCTGGTCTGATATCCCACTTGTCTTTGGCATGACAGAAGGAACAGTCTCGGCCGGCATGATGATTGAGGTGTAGATCCCCAGAGATTACAGGGCTGCTTTAGAATCTTTCAGCAAATGCAGGGCTCCAGCTGTCTTTATGCTGAACCTCTCAGAGCCCCTGAAGGGCAAGTCCTCAGTTATGGCTCACACCTCTTGAGGAGTAACAGACTCAAAGCCAAGATGCACTACACCACAAAGGCCATATACCTGGCAGCAGTGCCAGACCTGTCCATGGCTTCCCGTAGAGTTGTCATAGCCACAGACTAACCTTCGTTTATTATACCTTTCAGTT